AAAATAGCCAACTGTTCAACAAAAATGGTATAAAAAATTAAAAACACATAAATTACAATGTATTTTCCCTATGGTTAGCTTGCAAATAAAGGTACTATATATATACAGGGTGGTCCAGTTTGAGATACATTAATTTTAGGAGGTGATAGAGAATCAAAAATGAAGGGGACTTTCCTAATAAAATATTTTTCAAAAGTGCCTAATAAGGAAGCTATAGCCCTTCAAAGTGCACCCATGGGAAATAAATAATCGTTTTTTAGCATAACTTTTGAACCGTTTAAACGATTTAGTTTAAATTTTAACCAAAGTTTGATAAAATAAGTCTTGTTCGACCAGTGATAACGCGTTTTATCAAAATAATTCAGGGGCGTAGATGATGGGGGGAAGTTCCCCTTTTTCCCTCCCCATTTTTCAACCCCTTGCTATTTTTATAAATTGTTTATATTTTTGAATTCAACATTAAATTTGAACAAAAAAGTTACCCCTGGAAAATTGTGACTGAAGACTTTGTTTTCGAGATATTCGAGTTTGAAGTTTTTAAAACATGTCGAAAATGTAGAATTCATGTTTTTGAAATGTAATATTTTTGCCCATTGCATGCCATGTAAAGCAATTTGAAATATGTAGGTAGTCAAATATATTTTTCCCCAATGTCTGCTTTTGACTCACTAGTCATGTTCTCTTTTACCGGATTTTTAGGAATTAAACTTTACTGAAGCAATATTTTTTAAAGAAAACAAGGGTTTACAATAATTTAATAATGATAATTTACAATAGATTTTCAAAGTGCAATCCTCTGGCCTCAATACAGAAAAATGGACCACAAACATAATCATTGATAAGCCCAAGCCACACGTTAACACTAAATTCATGTTGAAAGGAACGAATTCGAATCTGTCTTGGATTTTCTTGAGCCCAAATGTGTGAATTATTGTGAAACTGGCCTCATCAGACCATAAAATCTTATGTAGAAATTGCGGATTTTCTTGAACAGAATCCAATATACAGTTACAGAAGGTTATTCGACTATTTTCATCACCAGGAAGTAAATTTTGCACTGGTTGTAAATGATAAGCTCTTTGATGATCTTAGATTTTGATTTTCCCAACTGCAGGGCTGCTCTACGTGAACTTAGCCGAGGATTGTTATTAAATATTCTGAGTATGGCATTATTTTTATTATTTCTTTCTCTAGGCTGCCGGTCCATGACGGTTTTTAAACCAAACTCACAAAAATTTCGATGAATGTTTACAAAAACGCGTGAATTTGGATATCTTCTGCGATATTCTCTAACGGCCATTGCAGAATCCATAAACAAAATGTATGTCTGCAGACTCGGCATTGCTGAAGAAATTTGGCATTCTTCGTAAAGATATTTGACAAAATCAATCGGACAAACAGAAAATAAGTTTACCAAATATGCCTAAATGACATTTAGTAGAACATTTCGAGGCTTGACGTAAGGCTACTTGATCACTTTTTCTCAAAAGTCTAGCAATTTCATTGGGCTCACTTGATAATTACTTTTTTCCAAAATTTTAAGCCGAATTTGAAAATATGAAACAAACCTTTAAAAATCTGAATCGATTCCGAGAAGTATTAAAAACGAAAGAAACATAAATTATCTACCTACTCAAAGTTATCCCTACGAAATGTCAAAAATCTATTAAAATCCGAAAGAGTAAGGAGTGCCCTTTAAAACCTGCTATTTTTGTTTGCATCAAATAAATAACGAAATTTAGATATGTTAAAAAAATACTTTGAAAACATGAATTGTGCATTTTCGATAAAATTAAAACACGAATATCTCAAAAACAAAGTCCTCAGTCACAATTTTCCAGGGGTAACTTTTTTGTTCAAATTTAATGTTGAATTCAAAAATATAAACAATTTATAAAAATAGCAAGGGGTTGAAAAATGGGGAGGAAAAAAGGGGAGCTTCCCCCCATCATCTACTATGAATTATTTTGATAAAACGCGTTATCACTGGTCGAACAAGACTTATTTTATCAAACTTTGGTTAAAATTTAAACCAAATCGTTTAAACGGTTCAAAAGTTATGCTAAAAAAACGATTATTTATTTCCCACTTTGAAGGGCTATAGCTTCCTTATTAGGCACTTTTGAAAAATATTTTATTAGGAAAGTCCCCTTCATTTTTGATTCTCTATCACCTTCTAAAATTAATGTATCTCAAACTGGACCACCCTGTATATATATATAAACCGTATTTTTCACATTTAAAATAAACATTAAATAAAGCTACGGGTTCCTCCAAATTCGCCTACGACTGGCGCTATGAATTTTAAAATGCATGAGGTTTTCCTCCAGTGAGATTTGGCCGGTCAAAATAATAGATTCATTTGAAATGTAGAGAAATAAACCAAAAGCTATTTTATCACTGTTAATAAATCATCTAGATGATGAAATATTACAATTATGCTTGTTTTTAAGAAGGAATAAAAAGAACCAAGGTAGCAGTTTTATTAAATAAATATTTAACTGACAACGAAACGAAACTTAAAGAATTTCGAATTTCACGCCATAAAATTAATTATTTATTTTATTTCATTAAGCTAATTAACATCCTATTAAACTTATCATAGGGTGACCAGATTCTGTCAAAAAAAAAGGGACATTTCGCTTAAATTTACCTTCATTGCAAAAATGACACAATAATACAAAGCAAATTGTCAGTTTTACGTTATTTAAATTCAAACAAAATGTCCCGCTTTTTTTGTCAAAATCTGGTCACCCTACTAATTAACATGTTATGAAACTAATCAGTATTTAATTAAAATAATTAACAAAAAGATCGTTTCACCACCAAATGTTGGTCTTTTTTATTTAGTTATATCATGTATGTCTTTTAATTTAAGCTTTGTTGTGTTTAATAGCCTAATCTCTCTACTTTTACTTTAAACTATGTAAAATAAAATATTTTCGTAAATATAAAAGTAAAATGTCCAAGGCATAATTTTTTGTTAAAATTTGACAAACAAATTATCCCTTTGCCATTTTCTTTGTATATTTACAAATAATGATAAGTAAATTCAGTGGCGTAGCTAGCCTCGAGGGGGCCCCGTATCGAAAATCTGGTAGGGGCCCTTATACGAGAAAAGCTGGTGGCAAAAAAATTTTTGGGTGTCACGCCCAAAGTCTATTTTGGGAAAACAAAAAAAAATTTTGGTTAAAAAATTCCTATCTTAATGTCAACCCATTCCGCAATGCAATGTTAGTTTCCTATCTGGATAACGTGGTTTTTGAATAGCTAATTAATTTTTCAATCAGGTAAGTGTTTAAAAAAATAAAATAAGTTATAAATTTGTAAAATTTGGATCTGTCTATATGCAACCAAGATTATCACGAAGTACTACGAATGGTATTACCAAATGTCAACAAAACAAATGAAGAAATTTATCGTTCAAACTGCAACGACCCAAAAACAATTACTATAAGTGAGTAACGTTAATAAAAAAACACGACACAAATAAGCTAAAAACTACTTATCCCATAAATCTAATCTAAACCCCTTTCATATTTAATAACCTAACCTAAAACCTTTTTAGAAGGAAAAAATCACATTGACAAGTCACACACACGAACTCAACTTAAAGAATTTACAAATCCCAACAGGATAGATCTGACCCAAATAAATTAACAGGCACTAAAAGGTAAAATACCCCCTAAACCTGCACAAACTAAACATACTTTAATAAGGAATAAACTAACCGAGTCTGCTCTTTTAGTTAAACACCAACTCAGTGACCAAAAGACACATCAAAATAAAGAAAACTAAATATAACAGTGACCAGAAGACACTTACAAGAAATACGAAACTAATAAAAATACGAATTCTCCAAGTAAGATATATGCAATATACAGTATGAACGAATGTGTGAGTAATAAACAAAATAATTCCTCATGTGTGCCTAACTTATCTTTACCGTACTAAACATGTAGCGTTACTATTTGTAACGTTACAATGTACCATCCTATTCTTTTTCGGAATATACAAGACCATCGTTAGGTCTTTAGTAAATGCAAAAATAGATGACTCAACTGGCCTGGATGTTAGTTTTAGCTGAGTTGGTGTGTCCGGCTTGTTCTTGCGAACAGTTCCAAGTAATTTAAGTTTTTTCGTCAATAAATAATTTGCCAATGGAACACTTGATAAAAAATTATCTGTGGTTATTCCTCGCCAACTGTCATGGTACGGTTCTACCAAATCTGATACGACAAGAAAGCCTTGACTCTTCTCTGTTACACCCGTATGAGATTTTCCAGTGTATACCTGAAGGTTGCATAAATATGAAATTTTGACATCAGCGGCGGCCCAAATTTTTATCCCATATCGTCCTGGTTTTGATTTTATGTATTGCCTAAATGGACATTTTCCCCGGAAACATACTAACTGTTCATCAATCGTGATATTTTCGTACGGTTCAAATGCCTTTCAACAATTATCAACAAACATGTCCCAAACATCCCTTATTGCTGCTAACTTATCCTTTTTCTTTCGCTCTGCTCTGTAAAAAATGATCGACGTATGGAGGTATTAGTAGACCACATTTCCCGAGTAGATTCCTTTCTACACCTAAGTGCACCTGCTTTTAGAAGTACTCCTAAAAAGCTATCAAGTTCATCTTTTTCAAGAACCGTCCAATATCTCGTATTATTTGGATTTTTGGTATTCCAAGCATCAAAATACCTAGTAGCTTCTTCATTGGTATAACGACAGATTATTTTTTTCATTTTCGTTGTAAAAAAGAGGTTAAAAATTTTTAAGAACGTAATTCAATCTTTACTGTATTTTGTAGCGCCCGGACGTGCATTTACAATATTCTTCTGGCGTCTTCTAGTGGTCACAAAAGGCTGACTGCAAGCCTGATTTGGAAGTATATTTTATATTACTACCTTTCTCAACATGAGGTTTCGTAGGATCTTCTTCCTCAGCCTTTTCTTGAGATCCCGTTGGTTCTTCCTCTGATTCCTCTTCACTTTGAATTTCTAGGTTATCCTCCATTTCCGAGAAATTTTCCATCGTCCAATCTTGATCCTCCTCATTGCCCGACTCATCATCGCTTTCATACTCCATTTCAGAGTCGTCCCAATTAGGATTGTTAATTATTTCTTCATGTTCTTTTATTGTTAGTGGCCTTGTTCTCTCCCAACGCTTCATTCTAAATAATAACTATAAAAAAATCTGATTTATTAACATGCATTTTTGGTATCGCTTAATGCCGAATCGGGGTCCCAGCGGGACCCCACTTACATTTTAACTTCTATTATCACACTATCGCTACGACGTGCCGCAGCAATGCTGATTTAACCAAACATAACATACCTACATATATTATTATATGGGAAAATAACATAAATTTAACAACAAAATCTTACAGATTGTTGATTTTTGGTACATGATGAATTTGTTCTTTACACAACAGTTGAAACATTTAACCAAATATAACATACCTACATATATTATTATATGGGAAAATAACATAAATTTAACAACAAAATCTTACAGATTGTTGATTTTTGGTACATGATGAATTTGTTCTTTACACAACAGTTAAAACATTTAACCAAACATAACATACCTACATATATTATTATATGGGCAAATAACATAAATTTAACAACAAAATCTTACAGATTGTTGATTTTTGGTACATGATGAATTTGTTTTTTACACAACAGTTGAAACATTTAACCAACATTTAACCAAACATAACATACCTACATATACATATTATTATATATATATATTAAGAACGTAATTCAATCTTTACTTTATTTTGTAGCGCCCGGACGTGCATTTACAATATTCTTCTGGCGTCTTCTAGTGGTCACAAAAGGCTGACTATTCCACTGCAAGCCTGATTTGGAAGTATATTTTATATTACTACCTTTCTCAACATGAGGTTTCGTAGGATCTTCTTCCTCAGCCTCTTCTTGAGATCCCGTTGGTTCTTCCTCTGATTCCTCTTCACTTTGAATTTCTAGGTTATCCTCCATTTCCGAGAAATTTTCCATCGTCCAATCTTGATCCTCCTCATTGCCCGACTCATCATCGCTTTCATACTCCATTTCAGAGTCGTCCCAATTAGGATTGTTAATTATTTCTTCATGTTCTTTTATTGTTAGTGGCCTTGTTCTCTCCCAACGCTTCATTCTAAATAATAACTATAAAAAAATCTGATTTATTAACATGCATTTTTGGTATCGCTTAATGCCGAATCGGGGTCCCAGCGGGACCCCACTTACATTTTAACTTCTATTATCACACTATCGCTAAGACGTGCCGCAGCAATGCTGATTTAACCAAACATAACATACCTACATATATTATTATATGGGAAAATAACATAAATTTAACAACAAAATCTTACAGATTGTTGATTTTTGGTACATGATGAATTTGTTCTTTACACAACAGTTGAAACATTTAACCAAACATAACATACCTACATACAGTGCTTGCAATATCAACTCCGACCGCACTGGAAAGGACGGCTGTTCAATATCCGCGTGAAAAGAACAAGGATAGACCGCCAAATAGAATTTGATTGGCCAGAGCCGGCTGCCGGATGCGTGCGAATTGTAAGCGAGGTCAAAGCTGGCTGGATTTAGACTAAATGATTTAGTGTTAAGCAAACTGCGTAAGAGTGTAGATGCACATTTTAATTTTCTTTTTAAATATTTTATACCAGAATCCTAAAAATAAAATTTTTTGATTTTTTCCTTGAGAACTAGGGCAACAACAAAAATAGTATTCTTAATAAAAAAGATTTCTCAAATAAAAAATAATTCTGAATAAAAATAACTATAAATAAAAATAAAACTAAATAAAAATAAAACTCTAAAAATAAATAATAAAAATAAATAAACTCAAAAATTAAATTAAATGTTCGAACAAGCCCCCATAGGCAGCCAAACAATAGCCTAACCTATTATAAAAATTCCCACGCACATTAGCTAGGACTTCTGGACTAATATCCCCCAACAAATTAGTTATGCGGATTCCTAAATCATTGAGGTTATTAGCCCGATCTTCCTGGAAAACGTACAGCTTCGACTTGAGGTACCCCCACAAAAAAAAATCACACGGCGCCAAGTCCGGTGATCTAGCTGGCCAGAGAATTCCTCCTCGACCCATAATAAGACGAGGTCCAAAAGTGTCGGAAAGGAATTCCCGAACAGCCATCGTATTATGTGCGGGGCAACCGTCCTGCTGAAACCATACGTTTTCGATGTTAACTCCGTCTAAATTTTGAAGCGCGGGAATTATTTGGTCTCTTAAGAGATTTAAATACCTAGCGCCATTTAAATTGCCATTTATAAAAAATGGGCCAATTATTCGGTCGCCCAAAATACCCGCCCAGACATTAAGTTTTTGGGGATACTGTGTCCGAGCTGCATAAATCCTACGAGGATTTTCTCGCGCCCACATTCGAACATTCTGCGAATTGTGCCTGCCATGGAGAGTAAATGTCGACTCGTCAGTAAATAAAATATTACCGATAAAATTTGGGTCGGCATTTGCTCTCTCCATAACAACCTCGCAAAATTCCATGCGGCGGAATGCGTCGGCAGGGAATTGCTCGTTTCCCCGTCGCAGCTTAAATGGACGATATCCATGGCGTCTTAGCACATTTCGTGCCGTGGAAGCTGAAATATCAAACTCCCTAGCCACCGTACTTAATGCCTGGGTTGGGTTTTCTTCAATTGACGCGCAAATTAAAGTATCCCGCGCTTCTCTATTTAGATTTTCACGGGGAGGACGTTCCCGTCGGAGCTGCATCGGAACTACACAACCGTGCGTGAGAAAATTATTAACGGTTCGTCGAATTGTTTCTCTGTTTGGTCTGGCCTCGAACATTCCCGCAAATAATCTTTGAATTTCTCGTTCAGAATTACCAGCAAAATGCCAGATTAAAATCTGAACTTTTTGTTCCAACGTGTACATTTTTTAATTAAATAATATTTTTCACTAAAATTACTACCTCTTGCTGGCACCACTGCAGTTCTCGTTCTGATTCCTCGTGTCAAGCACGCTGCGAGGTGCGCGATGGGTATGCGTTGTCGTAGCCTGCCGGCTGGCCAATCAAATTCTATTTGGCGTTCTATCCTTGTTCTTTTCACGCGGGTATTGAACAGCCGTCCTTTCCAGTGCGGTCGGAGTTGATATTGCAAGCACTGTATATTATTATATGGGAAAATAACATAAATTTAACAACAAAATCTTACAGATTGTTGATTTTTGGTACATGATGAATTTGTTCTTTACACAACAGTTGAAACATTTAACCAAACATAACATACCTACATATATTATTATATGAGCAAATAACATAAATTTAACAACAAAATCTTACAGATTGATGATTTTTGGTACATGATGAATTTGTTCTTTACACAACAGGTTAAAACATTTAACCAAACATAACATACCTACATATATTATTATATGGGCAAATAACATAAATTTAACAACAAAATCTTACAGATTGTTGATTTTTGGTACATGATGAATTTGTTCTTTACACAACAGGTTGAAACATTTAACCAAACATAACATACCTACATATATTATTATATAGGCAAATAACATAAATTTAACAACAAAATCTTACAGATTGTTGAATTTTGGTACATGATGAATTTGTTCTTTACACAACAGGTTAAAACATTTAACCAAACATAACATACCTACATATATTATTATATGGGCAAATAACATAAATTTAACAACAAAATCTTACAGATTGTTGATTTTTGGTACATGATGAATTTGTTCTTTACACAACAGGTTGAAACATTTAACCAAACATAACATACCTACATATATTATTATATAGGCAAATAACATAAATTTAACAACAAAATCTTACAGATTGTTGAATTTTGGTACATGATGAATTTGTTCTTTACACAACAGGTTAAAACATTTAACCAAACATAACATACCTACATATATTATTATATGGGCAAATAACATAAATTTAACAACAAAATCTTACAGATTGTTGATTTTTGGTACATGATGAATTTGTTCTTTACACAACAGTTGAAACATTTAACCAGTGTTGCCAACCCAAAATCGGTCTAGGAGGTAGATATAATTTTAAAAGTTGGTAGTTTCCAACAAATGTTACTTTGAAAAGTTAGTAGATCTACCACCTATATTTTTCGAGTATTCCAGAGACTCCAAACTTTGGAGTCCAAAGTAAGAAATCTGGAACTTTGAATTTATTTTTTGATGGATACAAAATATTTTAAGTATTTTTATAAAAAAAATAATAAATCAGAATTACAGATTGCCAATATTAAAAATAAGAATAGAAAAAAGTCAAAAATTGCAACGTCAAAAAAAAAATTAAATATGAGAATTATAAAAATTGAAAGAAATAAGAGTGGTGTTCCACCGGATTACAAATTACGTTGCGGCTCTGCTGAAATATTGCCCAGCTCAGGGGTTGCGTGGGCGTGGGTAAATAAGATATAAAAGTGGGCACCACTCGATTTGATAAATATTTTAGCAGGGCGGTTACTAATTCAAATGTTACAATAAAAACCGAGAAAACAGATAACACTTGTTTATTTGTTGAACACAATATTTTGTAATTCCAATAGAAAATATATACTGACAGTTTTAAGGAATAACTAAATATGTACCAAAATTCTTATAATAAATATTAATTAATATTATTAACGCTCGTTTAAATAATATAAAATATGTACCGTGTGATCACAGGGTTCACAGCGTGAACTTAACTATATTCAACCATAAAATAAAAGTTATATACCAACTTTGGCAACATTTAACAATGCTAGTAAATTAAATTAAAACCAACTATGCAGCTAGGGCTGCTACAATGTAACACAATAATGCGATTATACTTTAGACGAAATAAAATAACTTGAGTTTTGTAATATAAAAAAAAACAATTAACTAAATCAGTGGGTGATACCGATATCCTGGTGCGGTGACTCCCGCGACAACCTGTCTAGGTTACCGGTATGGTCTAGTGGTAACGTCAAATCGGGTAGGTGTCGTGGCCGGTGGTGTCGTCACAATAGGGGTGGGTGAGGCGGCAGGCGTCGGGCTCAGTCTTACCCCTGTCGTCTCACAAACGTCGCATCAGGTAATATACACAGGGTGATCCGGACTACCTTCGCGGTATGGAATGTCGCGGTCACCCAGGTCAGAAAAAGGTGTTGGTCAAAATCGGTATTATATCAATATGGTCGGGTAGCTGGATTACACCGACTGTAAAAGGTGGTGGTGAAAATCAGGACTATATACTATATATTTGGACCCTAAAAGTACATAAAAAAATATACCACATGGCATCAGACATAATTAATCCACTTACGCTGGTGTCCTGACTAAATCAACAAAAGTTTCGACACGATGGTGTGTGCGGTCTAAGTGTGGCGCTTTGGAGGAACCGTGAAACTAAATAGAAATAATATTGTAACGACAAGTACAAAAACTAAAGAACCAAGATGGCTTACCCTGTAAGAACTTTGTGATCCGGAATAAATCCGCTGTGTGTGAGGAATCCACAATCAAAACCAAAAATCAACAATCCTCAACACACCTCTATTCTTCTCCATAAACTTGATTAATCCCAAACTACTTGGATGGCTCAAAAAGCACTTAATATTTCAAAATTATGCAGGCTTCGGTCTTACAGGTTGCACGGTTAACACAAAGATGATGCCGGAAATATATAGTGATGGGATAATTCGAATTAAAAATAACCTATCATTCGATTATTAAAATAACCTGTAGAATCCGATTATCAATATAATTCGAATTAAAAATAATCGGATGTTTATTGGAGTGATAAATCACGAATGCTGTATTTCTGGTTGCGGTTAGTCGATTATAATAATCGAATTATTGTTCGAATTATTTAGAAGTCGAATGAAACTGATCTGCGCAGTGCAAAATTCGCCTCTACTAGGTTTGGCCTTGCGTTTGCCGTCATAATAAAGTGCAGGGCGGTACTCAGGATTTATTTAATATTTAAATTTGCAAACTTGCAAAAATATATAATATAAAGCAATATATATGAAATAAAAAATTAAAATAAACATAAAATTATTTTATTTTATTTAAATAACATAAATAAAAATATAATAGCAAATAAATTAATAATTATATTATAAACAAAAACCAAACTAAAGTTAACAATATATTAAAAACATTATTTGGTAACTGTAAATAATTTAAATAAAATACTTTTCTGGGCTTAGGTTTATGAAATTTCGAAAATTAAAACTGGGAATTTAAAAATACAATATAATATAATTTTGGGGCAAGTCTGTTTCTTCTGGAATTTGTTAATTGTCCAGTTTTGGAAAACACTCTCTCCGATGGCACAGACGTCGCAGGAATACTTAGATATTTCATGGCAAGTTCATACATTTCGGGAAAAAGAAGTTTATGTTTAGTCCAGAATTCTAATGGATCTCTTTTGCGTTCTAATGTCGCCATTTCCAAATATTGCCTTACGATTAAAATAACCATAGATGACGGAGTGGAAATTTGTGTTATTTTAGTCAACTTATTATCAAAATGCAACCAAATATCGTCCTCAGAATTAGAAGTATTACCTAATGTTTGTGGTTCGGCATACATTTCCACAGGCTCATTGTCTGCGTTTCTACTGGCAATAAGCTGTTTAAGTTCTTCAGTTACCCATTTTTGCGCATTGTCCGCATTATTTTCTGTACCAAATCCAACTTTTTTAAATCTTGGATCTAGAAAACAAGCCTTTGCAACAATTTTGCTCGTTTCAAAACCACCTAGTCTACGTGTCACAGTTTCTAATAAATTACTTCTTAACCCTTCACTGATATCTGTCTCAGTATTCAAATGCTTTAATTTAAACTGAAATCCACGAATTAACGGAATAATTAACGAAATCGTGGTACTTTTCAGCAGATACAATTGTTGTCAAGTCATTCGCAGGTTTTAGCACTTGAATACACTCACAAAGAATCTTCCACTCATCTGCATCTAAAAATTCAGGAGCTTTTGGTAGCAACACACAACGGATCTTTGATCTCCACTAATCGACTAATCATAATAAAACAAGAATTCCACCTTGTGGCAACGTCTTGTTTAACTTTTAAAATTGGCAACCCCATCTGCTGTTGCACACTTTTTAGTTTCTCGCTTGCAACAACGCTGTGCTTAAAATGCCCCACTAGAGCTCTGCATTTTTGGATTATTCGGTGTAATTGTGGCACGCTAGATAACGCATCGGTGACGCTCAAATTAAGCGTATGAGCGACGCATGGGTGGTGGTGTTTTTGAAGACAGTCATTAATGGCTTTTTTCACATTGGCTCCGTTGTCAGAAACAATGGTTACAATTTTATCAGTAATATTCCATTCATTACAAATTTCTGTTATATATACTGCAATATTTTCTGCAGTATGCGATCCGAATATTTCTTTTGTAGATAAAACTCGCGCATAAATTTGGTCCTCAAAAATAAAATGACATGTTACTGTCAAATATGCTTTGTTGCTGTCCGATGTCCAGATGTCCGTGGTAATTGAACAATGTTTAATTTGATCCAAGATAGATTTTAATAAAGAGGCTGCCTTTGCATAATGGGTTGGTAGAATGTCATTTGTTAATCGTTTTCTGCCAGGTGGTTTATACAATGGTTGTAATTCATGCGTGTACTCTAAAAACCCTTCGTTTTCCACTAGAGATACCGGTTGATAATCCTTTGTTATCATTTTTAGTAAATTTGAATCAATAGCTGCAATTTTTGATTGTGAAAGTTCACTTTGACTTTTATCACCAAAAAGTGTTAATTGCTTAGCTGGTCTACTTTTTCTTTGCACTACGGAAGAACTTTCGGGTTTTGTCGGTAAGGTAACAGTTCCTGAATCTGGGGCACTACCACAGGAAGCAGCATTTTTTGTTTTATTCGAGCTAACCCCAGAAGGTCCTGGCACTGAAATATTTTCTAAAATTGAGACGCTGCTGCAAACACTATTGCTTTTATGAATGTCAGTGGAAACAAAGTCTTCTTCACTTGATTGATGCGTTTCTGGAACTAATTTTAGTAATGGATGTATCCTTAACAAATGCTGCCTTAAATTCGTTGTACCGCCAAAATATTTTATTTTCTTTTGACAATTATTGCATGTAGCTTCGTTGGTAATACCAGATTTACTAAAATGATTCCACACAACAGATCTTTTTTTACCTGGACTCATTAACACCACTATTACATCAAATGTTCAAAGCACACTCTGAGTCCGGTCCTGTACTGTTTGTAAATTTGTGGTTTGCAAACCGTTTGCTCAGAGATAAACGCGTTTGCTTTTGTCGAAGGCACCCGTGTTGCCAACTTGCGGAAAAACAATAATCGTAGGGGAACCAAAGAAAATCGTATTTTAACTGTAAAAATCGTTCACCACTTTTTGTCAAATAAGAGTTTTATTATAAAACAGAATGAAAATATAAAAATATAAAAAAAATTCATTTTGATTTAAAAATTTTGTCCTGCTATTAAATTTTTTTATTTAAAGGTGGGAAATTTAAAATACTTAAACTTATGTGTATGCAAGAAACATAAAATGGTATTGGTCATAGAAAACCCCAAAGGGGTAAATTTTATTTTTTCACTTCTGGTTGGCAGTTTGGTTGAAAGTCTAAACATGATCGCAATGTTGCCTAATTTATTTTCGAGGCAAAATAATTCGGTTTTCAAAGATGCAACTAAAAATAGTAAATTTATTCATTTTTGAAAATGCAGAGAACTGCTATAAGAGAAAAAATCGTATTTATGCGTCCGATTTGACATAATGAATCGTACATCGTACCGACATGAAGATAATCGTACAAATACGATTAAAATCGTACGGTTCACAACACTGTACCCGCAGGATTGCCAGGTATGGTTAATTGTAGTCAAAATGCCCATTTTTTAAAGCCAATTGCTAAAAAATCAATTTGATAAATTTCAGTAGTGTTTAAATTAAGCGTTTACCTATTTAATGTTTAATTTACCTACTTATGTGATTTTAATTTATTTATTATAATAGTAGGTATAAATTAGTGATGGGATACCTAATTGGAATGAAAAATAACAAATCATTGGATTATTTAAATAAGTTATTTCAAATACCTAACCTGTAGAATCCAAATTATTAAGTTTTCCGATTGCAATGGTGGTTGCATGCTTATGGACGGTAAATTAACTTCCTTTTCAAGTTCATGTTCTCCCAATACTTAAGAGCGTTTAAAACCGTATTTAAGGGCGTTTAAAAGTTTTAAATTAAAACCAACTTATTTTTTGGGATTTTTTCATTAAATCATTCGCTTTTTAATAGTAATTAATAATTTTTCTATGAATACCACTTAATAACGATTTATGTTCAAATGATAATTCAAATTAATTTGTATTCGGTATCGCCAAAATATAATTTTAAATACTTTGCCGATACCGAAAGAAAATTAATTCGAATTATAGTATCATCCGATTATTAGAATAATCGAATCGCTATAATTCGATTATTGAAATAATCCGATTATGCCCATCACTAGAAATATAGTTAAAGGAAGTGGTTTGGAATTTCAAAGCGTTGCTTGCGCAAATGACCTTATTACGTCCACTGAGAATCACATTGACATACAAAAATGTAGAATTCTTCGTAACTCCAATTGATTGAATTAAAAGGTTGGATTTAGGATTATCAGTTTTACTAATATGTCATATAAAGTAGTTACTATGATTGTAACGTAACGAATTCCAAGATAACCCTGCAAATGCCCATATGTAAACCACCAATGTCTATCTACACGTTACGAATGTCAATGGAATGGCACACTTTACTGCGTTTGGCCTTGAAACTCCAACGGTTTAAATCCTAACCTACAACTGACAGCTGATTCCAAACAATACATTTTAAGGCCAAAATAAATGTAAATGGTCAAAACTATGTCCGATTTTAGATGAAAAACAAAACTAACAACACATAACGAGGTTTCACACAATCCGCCAGGTCTCCACGGATGAAATTTAACGAGTAATTATTTTGGGTAAGTAATGCTACAAAATCTACGTTTAACCATTGAAATATTACTAAATATTAATTTTCAGGTCGACCGCCTGTGATATATAGCCACAATGACTAAGGAAGCCAGTGCCCAAGTATCCTAATGAAGAAATATTAACAATAACCTACCAAATAATATTAATGATCGTAATGTTCTAATAAAGACAAATATTAAGCAAAACCATGGATTTCATTGTTAGAAACTATGTTCAGGTAAAACTATTAGAGTTATTGTTAAATTTTTGATAATTTTAAATAAAATAAGCCCATACAAAAAGTGAAACGTTACAAAATTAAAGAACGAATTATGATTTAATTAATTAATTAATTTAATAATTCCAGATTATAAATATTTAATTAATTAATTTGAGTATACAACCCAACTGTATGCATAATTTGATAATTATCATAATTCGTTCTTTATTTTTTGACTTTTTTCTATTCCATTTTCAAATTTGTACCCTTTTGCTTCTAATCCCTTTAATTATAAATAGGTATATTTATAATTAAAGGGATTAGAAGCAAAACGGTACAAATTGGAAAATGGAAAAAAGGTAAAAATATAAGAAAAAAGTATAGCTTTTTTATTAATCTATTTTTTAAAAGAATACATATTTTGATTGAATAATTTATAATATTTTTCAGAGCTTCGCACTTTTGTTGATAAATGTAATAGATAATAGAGGGCGTTACAGTAACGCGCTATATACTCTATGAAATTTGGTAAATGTTCAAAGATGTAAAAAGTATAAAAAAACACGCATTATTACCACTTTTAGGAAGATTTAATTTAAAAAAATTAAAAACTTTAAAAGTTGGTTGATTTTTCTTGCTAAGTAGTAGATTTGAGCAAGACACAAAAAGTTGGTAGAGTTGGCAACCCTGCGCAGCATTCTGAAATATTGCGCAACACGCATTTACCGACACATAGCTGGGAGCGCTGTTGCCAATATATTCAGATAAAAAAGTTATTGGGGAAAAATACCACTTGGGGTCCCAAAGAGACCCCGAACAGGCATCTAAGGGTTAATATTACTTTTGGATATAAGGCTTGTAGCTATTGCAGATGTTGACTCTTGAATTTTTCCTCTTTCTAAACCAACTGGTAATTCTTGTTCTGACAAATCTAAAATTATAAAATCATTTTTTAAATAAGAATAATTATATATTAATTATTGTAAGAAAAATAATTTCTTCTCTTAAAATACCAATTTATAACAAACAGCCACCAATCCAATACCCATTTATTGATAAGCAAAATTTGGAACCAACAGTGAAATAAAGATATTATTCAATGGCATATATAGTAGGTAAGTAAAAAATGGGGGGTTATAACACCCTTAATAAAAATTAGAGTGAAATTTAAGGTAAGAAAAAAAAGAATTCCATATAAATAAATAATAAATTTAAATTCTACCATCCACCTTGATCATCACACAATATTATTACCAAACCAACTAAAACACACAACCAAAACCCTTATAATGATTACCAGAAAATTTACCTTTAATATATCATTTCCTTGGTAGTATCTGATGATTTTTTAAATGCCTGCTGTAAACAAAAACTGATTATTGTTTACCTACCTCATTATTTATTGAAAATGTATCATATTGAAATATTATATTAAAATACTCAAATTGGCAATATTACCTGAATTTTTAATTGCATCTTCTTCAGCTAAATAAAGTGTTTTAAGATATTTTGACAATAAATGAACATGTTTACACATATTCCACTTTATACTGGAGTCCGGGCAAGTACATGAGTATCTGTGAAGACATATGTTCCAGTCAGTACAAATTAGTTTGCACTTACAATTTCTGTTTTCCTCATGAATGTAATAAAAGTCATTTGAAGTTTGTGAAAGTATTTGCCATCCTTCTTCATGGGGTAATATAGAGTCGAAATTTAAACTATCGCTTTTTTATGCCTGGATCTAATATTATTAATTTTTGAACAAAGCTTTCCTTTATTTATTATAATAACTTGATCAAAAAGTTTATCTCTGACAAATTTTAATACAGCAGATATAGCTTTATTAAGTCTTTTTGTATGCCCATAAATAAGGATATTTAATCGTTCTGTGCATGCATGTGTATGCATACTCTCTACCCCAACTAGCATTTATGGTGGCAGATACGTAACTGCCACTATCAAAGCCACTACAAAGGGGGCGGTGACCATCGGCGGCTACGTTGTATATTCGTAGCTGCTAAGTAACTGCGACCAAAATGGGGAAAGATTTTGAGTAGCCGGGTAGTGTCTTGGGTAGTTTTTGCCACTAAAAGAGTTACTACGATATGGCACTATAAAGTAGCCTACCGTTGAATGCGACTTATCTGTTACGAAGCTGCCTAGTCGCGGGTTCGTGGCAGCCTAGTGTTTTGCCACCGACATGTAGAACTTTCATTAAACTGTTAAACTTTATTCGCAGCGACCTCTTCAGTTTCACACTTCATAAAAATAAATGTCATGATGGAAAGTTATTATGGAAGCCATTATTATTTTTTTGTTATTTACCATGCGATTTTAACGCCTTTTGTGGGTCAATTCCAAAACGCAATCGACTTTACTGAATAAAATAGTGGGTTTATATGACAAAATTTTCGAGCGCCTTTCAAAACATTTCAAATTATTAAATTATTTGCAATAGAAACTCATGTAGTAATTAAAAAAAAAATTAATTTGTTTAAAACTGGCGTGAAACTTTAAAATATTAGTCCACCGTCACAAATAACAAAATATCTAAGGAAAAAATCTTTAGTTTAGGTATATTTAGCTTAAAAACGCAAAATGTTTGAGCCATTTGGCTGTTCGTCTGAAAAGTCATGAAAAAAATATGGCCGTTTAATCCGAAAAATACTTTATAGTTCCATATGCTTCCACAAAGTACCGGGAACAATAATATATTAGGCCAACCCTACCCGTTTGGAACTTTAAAATCTTCGGATTGATAAAGTGACAATTGCAACTACCCAGAGACGACTTTATGGAAACAATAACTTTTTGGGAACTACATGGTCCACGATTCTTTGGAACATAAAGTGATTTTTTCCAAGAAAGTTCCCTGCGCCACTAAATTGCCACTTAATTGCAGCGTTTATGCTACACCGATCGCGGCGTGCCACTATAACGTTCCGCCTTGTCCTTTGAAGTTCCCGTTTGGCGACGCGAGAATCATATTTTTTGTAAAATGCAAATTGAATATTATCAAACCTAATGTTTTACTGGTTATTGCAATTCTTATGATCACATGACAATTATTCATTTATTTTCAAAAAAATTAATTATTATAAAAAAACAGGACCCACACCGTTTATGACGTCACTTCCGTCTCGTGTCGTTTTTTCTAGGTTTATTAATTACTCTCTTAAATCTTGAAACGTTCTCTTCCACTTAATCTTCGAATCCACGACTTAAGTAGAGAGCATACAATATTCATTTTTACATAGCCCAAATACCTACAAGTAAGGCAGAATGAATAACATTCATCAGCCCAAGATTTGAACGCTTGACTCAGGTGTAGAAATCAGAACATACATCAACTTTGACTGCAAATACTTCAGGGAAGTATTGATAAACTTGACCCATTAAAAATATTTAGCACCTTGAATTTCTTATATTAAATTCCTATTCATTACAAAATATTTAAAGACTATTAAGGTGAAAACGTTCACGTAAGATAGAATTAATAATATTCATCAGCACCTCGATCAGAACGAGATTTGAACACTTGACCCAGGTATAGAAGTCAGAACATGCATCAACTTTGAATGTGAATAGGTACTTCAAACTGTTTGAATCAAACAGCTTTAAAAATGTCACTACCTGATTTATGATGTTCATCAGTACGATTATAGAAAGATGTAGTTTTTGTTTCTGATGTTGATGCTTCGGCTCCCAGTGATTCCTTTTGTTTAATTCTTTGATAGAAAGTACTAGAATATCTAAATTTCTTTTTATTTACCTTAAGCATTTTACAGAATTTTAATAAAGCTTAAAAGCAAGAAAAGAAAACACCAAAACAGAGCAGCACACTATAGTGCGTAACATATATGCAATCTGAGGCAATTACATTTATTAGGGTATATTAAGTTATGGTCACTATTAAGTAGCCATTTTTGATCCCCGCGACTTTTTAGTGGCAAAGGATAAGCGACGGCTACTTTATAGTGACCTAGGAAGGTCGCAGTAACCATTTTGTTACTTTCAATGCTACTATAAATTAGAGGTAACCAGGTGTCGTGGCCGCGACTACCCCGTAACTTAAATTGTTACTATAAAGTAACAAAAGCTTAATGGAGGCATTATGGTAGCACTTGTTGGTGACCGCTACTTTAAAAAGTTACTATAAAGTTTTTGGTCTTTTATGGTGTCATATTCGAAGATTCAGGTAGTTCCAGCCACTTCTTTAAATTACATGTTTGCCACTTGCAATCGGTGTGTTTATTTTCCACTTTTATGGTAGGTAGGCACTAACCAGTCACTCTCGAAATATACTTCAAAGTGACTATTCCTTATAGAGTAACATTTACAAAGTACATAGTACAAAGCGGTCTAAATACAAACATGCATGTACATGCATGTTTGTATTTAGACCGCTTTGTACTCTATGACAATAAGCCCAACATTTTGAATTATTTTTGTAATTTTTAAGGAAATATTCATGGAACTCCTGGGTATCTGGATCAGTCACCAGTGATTTTAAAAAACTCTCAAGCATCACAACAAAAGCTTCTTGGTCTGTTTCTTGCATTAGGTAGCTGCTTGTAGACAATCTCCTTCAAATAAATAAATAATCACAATATAATATAAAACGAAAACAATTACGGGGACAGACTATTTTCTTAAATATATTTAACTCAAATAGATAATATAAGTGCTTACCTTTTTTTCTTAGTATTAATCTAGCTAAGGTTTTTTCTCCAAGCCCGATCCACGTGCCACGTACAGTACAATCTATAAATTAAAGCTAAAAATAGTTCAATCAAGTTATAATAAAATACACACCTAAAAGAAGCTGCTTCCATAACTTGAATCGAAGCATTATAATAATAGTCTGCCATATCTGACATGAAGACCTTGGGCTCAATAACAAAACCAAGCTTTTGTCTAAGAACAGACAAAAATATCTTCATAGCTTCTGCATCAGACCTATTCGAAATACAAAAACAGCATTATTTCATTTAATACCAACAAAGTATGAAGTTCACACCCATATGCATATAGTCCATGGGTTGAATCGATACAAATACAATCTTGGGCATACTTTTTTAACATTTGATGTTGACCTTCGTTCATAATAACCAACATAAAATCATTTTCATTTATATTTGGATGTAAATCCATAATTTTACCTTGTGGTTTGTACAATAAAACACATCCATTATTTTTAACTTGGTTTACCCATGCTTGTACACTTATTGCATCACTTTTGTGCCTTACAGCTGTGGAGCTTAAGTTATACTCAGTGTTGCCAGAAGCAACTATAATATTGTACCAAAGTGAACACGAAAAATGTACCAATTTTAAATAAAAAGTACCATATAAATTTCAAATGAACTTAAATTAGCTTGTTTTAAACACGGACACAGAATAAATTAATATTTTAATATTTAAAATATTAATGTTTAATTGAGCTGTTTTAAAAAAGATGGGAATAATTAAACTAGATTTTCAACAACAAATATATTAATACAATCTTTTATAAAACGAAAAGTAGGTATTTTACTTAAAACATCCACGTAAAACAAAAATAAAACATAATTCTCTATTGTGTACTTTATACATTAAAATATTAAACGTGATTACTATTACTAATTAATCGTCACTATATTCTAATTTTCTTTTACATAGATCAGAACTAGGCAGCCACTTGTAGCAAGGATCGTCATGTAATAGTTCTTTGGCTAAAAGAAGTGCGTTACATGTGTCCGGCAAAAGACGATTACGGTTTTTGATTTTTATTAAATTTAAACTAGAAAATCATCTTTCTGCAGATGCAGATGAATGCGGCAATGCCAACAAATTAAAAACAAAATGGCATATGTTTTTAAATATTTTTTCATTATCGCTATTGGTTAGCAAATATAATTTAAACCAAAAATGAAATGAAGATCATTTAATTTATTCTTTAAATCGTTTGGCAAACATGAAATTTGACGGAATTCATTTCCAATCTGCTGTATGTTATTATTAGTTAGGTGATGATATTTATTTAAAAGGGGACTAATATTTACGGTATTTTTTAACAAATTTTTATGTTCCAATAAGTCAAAATTTTTATACTTTTCTATGTCACTAAATCGGCTTCTAATTTGAATACACAATTCAATAAAATAAGATAAGCAATGATTTTTAAAAACTACCAAGTCTGCATCTTTTAAATTTGAATTTAAAATTAATAAAGCTATTTGCTCTCCAAGGTACAGTTTATTATTGGACACATACATTGAAACATTTAAGGGATTTATTCTGATTACGTCAATTTTATCACTAATATATTCTTGTTTCATGAAACACTTTAAAATAGTTTTATATAGAGTCGTAATCCGACTGTAAATAGCATGAATTTTTGATTTTTCTGACTGAAATTCACGGTTAATTTGATTAACTAAATCTAAAACAAAAGAAAGAAAATTTAAATATAGTTTAAAGTAAATATTTTCCTAGCCTTGTAAAATCGTATCTGCAGATACCAAATTATCTTGAAGAACAGCTCCTTGAAAGTATAGCTGCAAGGCTGGCCATTGCTCCAAAACTCTATTCACCACTGCCTAAATAAAAATATACTTACAATTACTAAATTAAGTTACTTACAATAATTGTAATTATTACTAGAAATAATTGTAATTATTACTAGAAAGTTACTAAAGACAAACCTGCAAATAGAGCCACCTGGTTTGACTTAATTTTAAAAGTTTATGAGGTTTGACCTCTACAAAGTCTTGAAAGTCTCTAAAATCTTTTAATTTTTTATAACTTCCTTTAAAATAGTTATATATATTTCGAATAAAGTCTTCTAATTCTTTTGGTAATTTATTAGCTGCATTAGAAGCACATAAAGCCATTGAATGGCATATGCATCCAATAACAAAAAGATTTTCATTTATTTCCAACTTTAAACAAGCCTTTACACCTTTAATGTCACCCATCATCACTGCAGCATTGTCCGCAGCAAATCCTATGATGTTTTCTTTGGGAATGTTTTCTTTTTGCAATAAAGACAATATACTTTCAGTAATACCTCTGGCACTAAGATCATTTACAGATAATAGGGACAGAAGTCTATCTCTAACTTCACCTTTTTCATTGTCCACATACCTTGTTAGTACTGCAAGACATTTTGTGGCAGATATGTCTGTTGTTTCATCAATAATTAATGAAAATTTTGAGAAACGTAGCACTTTTGAAAGTATATACTTACTTTCAGACCCCATTGTTTTAACAATAGCTGTTGCTTTAGTACGGGCACATGTTATTTCCTTTAAAATTTGGGAATCTGGAGCTGCTACTTGTAACAGTTGGCAAGTTATGCTCTATTAATGTCATAGTTAAATGAAATTCTGCTTTCTTCACCTTAGCTTTTAAAGCTATTTGTTCAGACAAAGAAGTAATATCCACTGTTGATTTTGCTTTTGTATATGAGTGCCATTATTGTGATGCCTGGTTAAATGAGCGTGATTCCTAACAAGTGAGTTTTTACAATACTTGCAAAAAACTTTACCTTCTTTTTGTAAGAGCCAGTTGAATTCTTTAAACCATTCCGCTTTTATTTGCCTGTTTACCTTTCTCTTTTTTGTTTCCTTAAAATACAGTAACATATATTTAATATTTTATATTATATTTAGTTACTTACTGGTTCTTGAATTTCCAACAATTCATCTGTGATCTGTGATCTTGAAGTAGATGGAACAACAGATGTTTCAGGCGCATTTTTTGTCAAGTATCTAATAATACAATAATTTAATCCTAATTTACAAATTAATAATTGTCATATTTACCTTTCCATGATTTATAATAGATATTAAATATTTTACACACAGAATAAATAATAAGTTAACCTACAACAAAACAAATATATGGGAATCCCAACGCGCGAATATAGATTATCTTCTTCTTCTTCTTTGGATCTTGGCCTGCTAGCATAGATTAATAGTCTATGATTTGTTAAGCGCAAACATTCGGGGCGACTCACAGAACATAAGGGGCGACTAATAGCCGGGTTTTGATTCAAAACTTTTGAACCATATAAATTATTTTAACTTACAGGTAGCTTTATTATCATCAGTCATCAGTCCAGTTTACAGGGTCCTTTTAAAATTTGATAAACTTCTTAATATTTGTTATATGTTCTTAATTCAATAAAACCTTTGTAAAAAATAGAGTGGGCAGAAAATGTACCAAAATTGTTCTCGATGTACTTTTGTACCACGAGGTTAAAAATGTACCAAAATGGTACAAATGTACCACCTCTGGCAACACTGGTTATACTGCTGCTCTATGCAGAGCCGTTCCTGGCGAGCGTGCAGTGCGTGCACGCACGCAGGCGCAACATTTTGGAGGCGCAAAATCAAAGAGTCAATCAGTACTTTGTAACGATAAACTTTCTTGCATATAATACTTAAACATACATAGGATAAAGGTTACCGCCCTTTTTTTGCGCTATAAAGCGCCTTTTGCCGCTTTAATATTGGCGGCTTTTTTTATAAGGATCAAAATAAAAGGAGACAAATCCTTCATAATATCTTAGTCTTAATATTTTTAGTATTTGTTTGATAATTGCAGTTGACGGTAGCAAAGTTTAACAGTAGTCTATACATTAGAAATAGTCAACTTCTATGTAAAATTTTCTGCTGAATCCGAAAATGTCGTCAAAAGTTATAAAAGTAGAACGTTTTTGAGATTTAGTAAATTATCCATATAATATGGAATTGACTATATCATAATTTTACATAATAATAAGCTGTTAAATGTCCAGGATACAAATTGCTGTGGACTAAAGTTATTAGTGACTGCTTTTTTACTTTTAAAACTAGTCATTTTTAGAGAGTAGGTACGTCACTAAAAACCAGTTGTAGTTATTATATTGTTTAGATTGTTTTTTTTTGTTTTCTTTAGAGTATTTTTATCACTGAATTTTTTTTGTGATTTTGTTTGGTAATTTAATAAATATTTTTTATATTTAATTTAAGCGGTTTTTTTAATTTTCAATTACATATTGCCCGTTTGTCGCAAAATATATATTTTTTAAATTTAAGGGCTTAAAATTAAAATATTTAATGTATTATATTTAAATATAAAAGGGGCGCACCAACGCGTTGGAGCAACGATTGCTGCAAGTAGGCGCCAGACACCCTAGGAACGGGCCTGGCTCTATGTTATACAGTGCTTGCAATTTCAAGTCCGACCGCACTGGAAAGGACGGCTGTTCAATACCCGCGTGAAAAGAACAAGGATAGAACGCCAAATAGAATTTGATTGGCCAGCCGGCAGGCTACGACAACGCATACCCATCGCGCACCTCGCAGCGTGCTTGACACGAGGATATCAGAACGAGAACGGCAGTGGTGCCAGCAAGAGGTAGTAATTTTAGTAAAAAAGATTATTTAATTAAAAAATGTACACGTTGGAACAAAAAGTTCAGATTTTAATCTGGCATTTTGCTGGTAATTCTGAACGAGAAATTCAAAGATTATTTGCGGGAATGTTCGAGGCCAGACCAAACAGAGAAACAATTCGACGAACCGTTAATAATTTTCTCACGCACGGTTGTGTAGTTCCGATGCAGCTCCGACGGGAACGTCCTCCCCGTGAAAATCTAAATAGAGAAGCGCGGGATACTTTAATTTTGCGCGTCAATTGAAGAAAACCCAACCCAGGCATTAAGTACGGTGGCTAGGGAGTTTGATATTTCAGCTTCCACGGCACGAAATGTGCTAAGACGCCATGGATATCGTCCATTTAAGCTGCGACGGGGAAACGAGCAATTCCCTGCCGACGCATTCCGCCGCATGGAATTTTGCGAGGTTGTTATGGAGAGAGCAAATGCCGACCCAAATTTTATCGGTAATATTTTATTTACTGACGAGTCGACATTTACTCTCCATGGCAGGCACAATTCGCAGAATGTTCGAATGTGGGCGCGAGAAAATCCTCGTAGGATTTATGCAGCTCGGACACAGTATCCCCAAAAACTTAATGTCTGGGCGGGTATTTTGGGCGACCGAATAATTGGCCCATTTTTTATAAATGGGAATTTAAATGGCGCTAGGTATTTAAATCTCTTAAGAGACCAAATAGTTCCCGCGCTTCAAAATTTAGACGGAGTTAACATCGAAAACGTATGGTTTCAGCAGGATGGTTGCCCCGCACATAATACGATGGCTGTTCGGGAATTCCTTTCCGACACTTTTGGACCTCGTCTTATTATGGGTCGAGGAGGAATTCTCTGGCCAGCTAGATCACCGGACTTGGCGCCGTGTGATTTTTTTTTTGTGGGGGTACCTCAAGTCGAAGCTGTACGTTTTCCAGGAAGATCGGGCTAATAACCTCAATGATTTAGGAATCCGCATAACTAATTTGTTGGGGGATATTAGTCCAGAAGTCCTAGCTAATGTGCGTGGGAATTTTTATAATAGGTTAGGCTATTGTTTGGCTGCCTATGGAGGCTTGTTCGAACATTTAATTTAATTTTTGAGTTTATTTATTTTTATTATTTATTTTTAGAGTTTTATTTTTATTTAGAGTTTTATTTTTATTTATAGTTATTTTTATTCAGAATTATTTTTTATTTGAGAAATCTTTTTTATTAAGAATACTATTAGTTCACAAGGACAAAATCAAAAAAAAATATTTTTAGGATTCGGGTAGGTATAAAATATTTAAAAAGAAAATTAAAATGTGCATCTACACTCTTACGCAGTTTGCTTAACACTAAATCATTTAGTCTAAATCCAGCCAGACTGGCCAGATTTGACCTTGCTTACAATTCGCACGCATCCGGCAGCCGGCTCTAGCCAATCAAATTCTATTTGGCGTTCTATCCTTGTTCTTTTCACGCGGGTATTGAACAGCCGTCCTTTCCAGTGCGGTCGGACTTGAAATTGCAAGCACTGTATAAATCTTTACGTGTTAAAAGATGTAAGTGTTCTAAATCGTTGCTTGATACAGAGTCTCTTAATTCATCTATGATAGCAGTCATTGAAATTTTTGCTGCCAATTTGGCAGCTATTTTTTGTTTCTCTGATTTTGAAAGAAATAAATTGCCTAAGTCATTTTCATGACCAAGGTGTGTTTCGATAAATTATATTTCACATATTTCTTGTTTTTGCGTTAATTTTATTCTAGCTGGACAAAATGCATTTATTTTATTACTTCCTTGGAGTTTTAAGTGTCTTTTACCTGTTCCTTTTTTATTATAAAACCCAGATCGGTGACAAACAAATGTAGTCCTTATAAAATCTTTACTATTGTAAGTACCATGTTCCTTCACATAGGATGATTTTGTGTTTTTTTAAATATTCATTTTCAATAATTCAAATTCTTGTATAGTATTAAACTGCAGCAACCTTTTCTGTATTTTTATATGATGAAATGATTGAACATGATTAATAGGCTCCGATTTTGAAGCACAGTGCACATTGATACATTTTCCTTGTTTGTGTTTCACTGACATTATTTATTGCAGAATGTTTGTGACTGGTGATATTTTAAATTGTGTTTGTGATTAAAATTTTTTCCACATGTTTCACAAGTGTGTATATTTTCTTGGGCTTGATAATTTCAAATTTATCTAAAACAAAAAACAAAAAAAAGGTTTAAGTATTTTTAAGTTATTGTTATTATTATTAGGTATTATTACTATTATTATTATTATCAACCAGTACTGTACATTAGGGTGGGCCGAAAATCCGCTTTTTTAGAATTTCGTTTAGTAATAGCAAAAATTTTGTTCATTATGTTGTAAAAAAATTTTGTGTAAAAGATTAAAATTTTCGATCAACATCCTAGGCTCGCCCAACGCAATTAAAGATCAGAATTATTAAATTATTTACTGTCGAAAATGCCACTTTTTGAAAAAAAATCGCAATTATCTTGATAGTTATCAATCGCTAAAAATCATACCAAGAGATGTTTTTGTAGGAAATATAATTTTCCAAACAACCAAGAGTTTCTGAATAGTTTTTTATCGATAAACATTATAATGTTAAATATATTCAAATGGCTAAAAATTACAATTTTGATACTAAAATCGGGTTTATTTCTGAAACTATCCATCTGACGTAATTTTGTGTAAGGACCTTTTTTGTAGAGCATAAAATTTCCAATCGAAATTTATTTATAACTTATAAGTTAATAAATTTATTTATAACTTATAAGTTAATAAAAAATGTTTGTGAACATTTTGATCTTTAATTGCGTTGGGCGAGCCTAGGAGGTTGATCGAAAATTTTAATTTTTTACACAAAATGTTTTTACAACATAATGAACAAAATTTTTGCTATTACTAAACGAAATTCTAAAAAAGCGGATTTTCGGCCCACCCTACTGTACATATATTCACACATTTTATTAAGTACTTATTTCATGTTTAAAATTATAAAAATATTTAGGCTATAGCCTTATAAGCATCGGCCATCAGTTAACTGACCTCATAATTTACTTTTAATAGGTACCTATCTGTTGACGAAAACAGTTGGAATACCTATACCAGACCAAAATTTGCATGGTTTCTAATATAAACATAAACTTACCTGGATGAAATTTTTTGATATGGGCAACTAAGTTAAAACTAGTCGAAAAAGTTTTCTTGCAATCACCACAAATTAACTGGTTCTGATTCATTTTTATAACAAGTAAAATACCGCTTAAAAGAACTACAAGATTATAACCAAAGTCTTCCAAATGTTGACATTTATAAAAGTTACTCGAAACAACACTGCACAGCAGGATTTTCTGTCTCTAGACTCTAGTAATTCTGACAAGCGTCTAGCGCTAGCGCCGGCTACTTTTCGCAGACATGCGCGTTATCGACAATCTTCATTTAATGTAGGGTTTATTATAATAATCTAAGTATAAAATTACTTCTTGCGAAGCTTCGAAACCAACCCAAACTCAACAACCCAACCGACCCCGCTCCACCCTCCACCCCGCCCAATTTTTCAACGAAGGAATATTCATATAATTACATATTATATTTTATAACAGTAGCAAAACGATTATGAGGAAGGGTAAATAATTTAAATATTAATGTAAAATTAAATATTAATCCTTTTTGTAGGCGCTAAGAATCGAACCTGGTATCTCTTGCATACAAAGCGGGCGCTCTTCCAACGGAGCTACCGAGCTTATTGAATAGTTCCTATTATTTGGAAAATAATACCAGTTTACAGTGTGTGACGTGTGAAGCTTCCTGTTAGTTAACGCGCATGTCTGCGAAAAGTAGCCGGCGCTGGGACTAGACGCTAATGTAATACTGTTATCTTAAAGACTCAAAAAATAATCATTAAACATATAACATATATCTGTTTTATCTGTAATCATTTGATTATCTTGGTTTTTAAGTTGGATAATATTGAATTTTTTTTTATTTTTATTTATTCCAACTATCTTTAGCTATATTAGTCGAGTTTCTAATTTTTAAGTTTTGCCTTATTATTTCTATTTTGTATAATCTTTTAAATTTTTTGAATTGTTCTGTATATTCTGAGTTATTTAAACGCTTTGAGCATTTGGCCATATCACAAAGATGTTTATGCATATTTTTCAAATTATCATTGAACCAGTTTTTTGTGTTGTTTTTTACTTTTTTCTTACAAATAGGAAATGAAGTATAATAATAATAAATAAACCTATTATAAATTTTTTTAAATTTTGTACTAAAATCGTTCATATCGTTCGTATAAAGTAAGTTTTGAGTCCAGAAACGATGATAGAAGATAATTCATAATTTTTAGATATATTGCAGTGGCCTTCGAGCCATCTATAAATTCTAGACAATTTAAAACTAAAAAAGAACCCATTCTTTGTGCAGATCCAAAATTCATTTTATCTTCTGCTTTCAAGTCGCTTCTTGTAAGCATGTGTTTATCTTTCGAACATTTTTCCAAAATCTGAAAAAGATGATCTAAGGAAGCTTGTTGATGTCCTATTGGCAAAATTATATTCGGTTTGAGAAATCATGTGTGAAGTTTTGTCAAGATGTGTACGAAGTCTTGAAAGCATATAATGTCGTTTTCACTCAAATTCATTCGGTACCAAGGCCAGCTGTTTTCTCCCGAAGCAGGCTCCGAGATAGTCCCTTTCATGGGAAAATATAATTTTAATTGAATTGCTTTTAATAGCCTGGTATTCCCATCTGAAGAAAATCCAACTATTGTTCCAAATCTTCTATACTTGTCCATCTGCTAAGTATATCTCTAAAAGTAAATCTATTGTCTGTTCCTATAACTACTAAACAGTATGAAGGTGCTCCAAGTGTTGATGGCTGCGCCATCATTATGTGAGCGTAAGTAGCTTTCGTTTGAGTTTTAAAGTATTTTTGAATCACTTCTGGTAAAGTTGCAAGAAACTGATGTTTATTGGGCAAGCCATTTATTAACGGCAGTACAAACCCCATGATTCTATTTGTTTTTGAATCATACTCGATTTTATTTTTAATCCGAGTAGCATCTTCGGAAATCGGAAATTTTGACAAGCTTCTTTCTTTCAAAAAAGTATTTAAGCCACGAAAATCCAAATGTCCTTCTTCTATAACGTCTTTTGTCGTTTCTAAATATCTATGCAATGTTGAAATGGATGGGACGCTACTTTTTAAGTTGGAATAAATTGTTTCATGTAGTAGTCTGCCACCAACATAATATAAGTACACTCAGATTTTTTTTTGTATTTTCGTTAAATTTATTGTTATTGTTCGATCGCTCAGCACTTTCTTTGCTATTTCTTAATAGACGTTCTAAAAATTTATTCTTTTCTTCAGTATTTGAAAAATCGAAATCTTCACTACAACAATTATGATATTGAATACTGCATGCAATTATTTTATCTGTTACCTCAGGGACGTTTTTAATAATGTCGCACAATTGATCAAATTTTTCAAAAAAATTTGTTATCAGAGTTTGTTTTTTCTGACTGCGCTGCTCTGCTATATTTAAAAGATGACCATTTGGATTTAGATGGATTAGCTTGTGGAAAGTTTTCTCCTAGACTGTCATGTTCATAGTTTTCAGTCTCCAACTCGCGCTCAGTATAGGTATGTTTTCTGTTGAGCATGAATTCAAATGTAGATTAGAATTGTTTCATGGGATTGTGACGTTTTGTAGCACAATAATTTTAGACGTGCTGGGCTTTGGAACAATACTAGAGATGACTTTGGATGTGCTGGGCTTTGAGTTAGGACTAGAAATGATCTTCGACGTACTGGCCTCTGGATTAAAGCTAGAGATGACTCTGGATGTGCTGGGCTTTGAACTTGGATTAAGAAATGACGTTATTTTCTTAAATTTAGATTTATTCAGGAATGACTCCAAGGGCACCTCTATATTTTTCGATAGAATTTAGAAAAGATCTTTCAGGTACGGGCCTCTGGATTAGGGCTGGAGATGACTTTTGATGTGCTGGGCTTTGGATAAAGACTAGAAATGATCTTCGACGTACTGGCCTTTGGATTAGGGCTAGAGATGACTTTAGATGTGCTGGGCTTTGGGTTAGGACTAGAAATGATCTTCGACGTACTGGCCTCTGGATTAAAGCTAGAGATGACTCTGGATGTGCTGGGCTTTAAACTTGGATTAAGAAATGACGTTATTTTCTTAAACTTAGATTTTTTCAGGAGGGACTCCAAGGGCACCTCTATATTTTTCGATAAAATGTGTCTTAAATAATTTGATAATACCCATCTATTAGAAAGTTTAGGAATTCTGTAGGCCTGTTTATAAAAACATGTTACTTGACAAGTCATTTCATTATTGACTGAATTTTGTGTATTTAACACTATGTTATCCAAATCAGAATTCAGAGTATCCCATCTAATTTCATCCACTTGACTTTTGGTCCAATTTTTTATCTGCTTTGACAATGCTTTGTTTTCGGCGGTGAGATCTACAGAGGTGGTATTTTTTGGATTGTCACTTCCATTAATTTTTACGCTAGTTTTGCCTATGTTATTTTGGCGCTGTGTTTCTTTAGTTTTTGGGTTTCCTTTCTTTGAAACATTTACTTGTTTATTACAAAAATTTATCAATAGGTTCAGCATTTTTTTGTGTCCGATAACAAATTTGAATTTATTGGGTTGATGACAGAATGTTGATTCAAAATATTTAATGGTATCTGTATGGCTAATAATAGTTTCCAATTCCTGCCTTGCAAATGTTTCCACTTTTTCGGTGGTTTTGAATATGAAGGCAGTGGCTGTTTTTGAAAAACTCGAACTGCTAAAAAAAACTGACAGTCGATTTGAAATCAGTGACCTTAAATTAGTAAACAACCGTTTAAATACTTCATGCAACAAAAAAAAACTTTGATTTAATAATTAATAATAATTATGTTATAATATTATAGCCTGTAAATTAAGGGATGTACCTACTTATATAAAGTGAGTATTTTACATTTGTTAAAAACATTTATTTAAAGGAGAAGATTACAAGTGATTACATGAGATTACGTCAGATTACAAACAGCTTGTACACTGATTACAAGTCGCGGTTTACCCCTCGATTCCCCCACTCCCTACCGAAAATATGATTCCCCTAAAAGGAACAGGGGGCTTTGCTTGCGCAGAGGGCGTTCAAGTCCGCAGTAAATTTACTGACTATTTTACAAAAGAAGGAGCTGTATCCTGGCAGAACACAAATATTTAATAAATTTTAGATTTAAATATCACACGGTTTTGCGTTTGACCTCTAGAAAGCAGTTTTTGTATTGTTTTATAAGAATTTACTTTGTTTTTAATGTTTATTTATGCATTATAATAAAAAAGTATATATATAATTTTTTTATAATTTTTGTTTTTGGGATTATAAATTTCTGGATTGTCGGCTATTAAATGAACAAGTTGTTTGTGTTCTATAGGTAAAAATACATTCATATTATTTTAATATAATTAGACATATGCTATAATTTCGCGGCGAAACAGTCGCTTGTCTGCTCCCAGAGCAGTCCAGCGACCACTCGTCGGGCGAAAAGCGAATGACGTCCAGTAGCAGCGACTGGGTAGCAGCGAGGTATAACCTTAACTTGAGGGCTATAGCGTACGGCAGCCTTTATCAGGGAAGCAATGGGTCAATGGGGGGAATATTGTTTGTTAATACTTACTTATTTTTGCTCAACATAAAAATAGGGCGCCAATGTCTTAGGGTGACCAGCTGTTAAAATTTCTCAAGCAAGTAAGACATAACTAACTTGAGTTGAAGGTATTATTAATAAATAAATGATAAAAAATTTAAGAGTTGTATATATTGACTATTTAGTCACAGTGTGGTAGTGCAGTTATTAATGTAAAGTTAAATTATACAACTGATTTTACCTTCATATGGCCATATGTGGTGTACATTGTCGATGTGAATTTTAGTACACTACTGTAAACTGATTTCTAAACAAATATTCATATTTAAACAATAAAATGTTCTTCACTAATTCGAAGTGGTCATTATTTCTGGTGGTTATAACAAAATTATACGACCTGGGGTTTGTAGTACATGCCAATTATCTTAAAATCTGACAGCTAAGTTTAATGGTCGGCCATGTTCTTCAGCCTGTTGCGCATAGAAGATCCAGATTTGCATTTTCCTTACGCACCTCAAGGTCGTTCCAAACTACGTTGTTGTTAAAAAAAATGAAGCCATCCAAAAAAATTCGACATAAAAAAACCTAAAACAACGCAATCGAAAATTCTAGTTTCTTTGACTTACCCTTATTTACAAGGGTTTTTTTTCACGCTATCGTCAGCCACAATATTACCAGCGATTAAACGACATCTTAGACCTGCGACAATCCCAAACCAAAACTTAAATCCAATGGGATTCTAGGATTTCACAGACCTGTATGTTCAACTTAACCTATGCATTCAAAGATTTACAGCCTCTTCTAAACTTTTCTAGGCTTGGACAATTTTGCCCAGACTCTGATGCATACTCTACGGCTGTTAAAGGTCAAAGAGGAAGCGAAAACGACCACGTCGACAGCAAGGATACTTAACGTTGCCAGATTTCTCCCAAAATACAAAACTCTTAATCTTCGCACCACTAATATTCACACTGATCTTATTAATTTAAAAATAAAAACATAACTAAAGCTTATTCCCGATGAACTTTGATAATAAAGACCCTTAAACGTCTTAATTCCAAACTGAAACGAATCGTGGCAACCATGTAACCAATTAGCGACACCTACCAAATAATAGAATAAGCCTTTCTTATTCCCAAAGGAATCTACCCATTTGGTAACATAGCCGTCAGCGTTTAACAAAGAAAATCAAAATAAACCGAATCATTTCACTAATTAAATAATATAAGTAACAACTGTTTCATCGTCAAAATGACGGTTACAGAGGAACCCAGATTAGAGATGGGACATCGATGTCTATCATCGATGTTAACATCGAAAGTTAAAATCTATGTTTGAAAGATGTTAGCTATCAAACATCGATGTTTATCAACATCGATGTTGTTTAAGCAAATGAAAATTAACAGAAAGTTAAAGGCAATTTTTGTAAACATACGCCTTTCTTCATAAAAAGAATTGAATTTTCTTATTGAAGTTTAATAAATAAACGCTTATTTTTTGACGATCAACCTTGGCCCGACTTTCCTTTATTGCTTGAGATAGTCTTTGCGACAGAGCATCTTTATGCCTCTGCATAAATGATAAATACCACTCCTTCCCTGGTTTATTTTCCTTAAATATTGATATGCGGACGCCTCTTCTATTTAAATAATTTTTAACAAGTTCTCTAATATCTTCACATTCCAATGGAAACCCCCAATCCGCTGCGATGGTAACAATTAACAATAGCTTTTTCATCCGCACTTGATAATGCACATTGACCACCGGGATTTTTTTCGTTCAAATTTTTTACTTTCCGATACAAAGTTGCTCCGGGAATCCCATATCGTTCGCCGATATCAGTTAAAGTTCCTTCATTATTTCTATAGGCTGCCACTGCTTGTACAACGGACTCGTCTGAATAGTTTCTATAGGGCCGCGAGCCAAGGCGCCTTTTGTACGTCCTACCCATATTTTTTCAAGACACCCCTAAAAAGACATAAAAAAATAAAATGTGACACCACTACTTTGCTTCATCTAATTCAAATTATTTACCATTTTGAAATGGGAGTAAACTTTTTCTTCCTTTTACTCTGAGTTTAAAAATTTCTTCAGTTATGTGATCCATAACTTCAATTTGCTGCTTAACTTCCAGGCCACAACCTCGGTGTCTGGCTCTTGTGTCGCTAAAAGGTGCACTGACGTTAAAAACGTCGAACCAATCATTTACCAACAAAATAATAAATTGAAAAAACGTGTTGCAATAAAATCTCATATTCATATCCTCTGAAAGATATCCAAGCCTCCCGCATCTACTGATGGCGTTTGAAATTGTGTGCGAAAAGAGCTTGGCAGCGAATTTCACTCTTTGTCTTTGTGCCCCAACTACATTAGGTTTCTCCTTTGAAATTTTGTGAGTTAATTTCAGATTAGAAACGGCAGTAGCATCTATTGTGGATTCTATAATGGATTTATTGATTTTTTTCCCATTATTAAGAATAAATCCCTGATCCACAAAGTGATTTCTTATTAATTTCAACAGATGGGGAACATCAGCGAAGACATATATATTTTCCTCATTATGAGGATTCAAGAAGTATGGTTTTGAGTGTAAAACTTCCAGCTCAATATGAAGTCCTCTGTTTCCACCTCCTAAATCCGAAACCATTGCCACTACTGGAAACCCTACACAATAACATGTTTTAAATTGAAAACGTGTACTGCTAATGATTTTGTACCCATACCTGACCTTTCCAAAAAAATTTTGATTTCAAACAAAGTTTTGAATGTCATTTTGAAATCATAGTTATAAAAGATTGGCTGTTTCCATGACTTAAATAGGCCCCTCATCATGATCACTTGTGCATAGGAATATGGCTTGAGCATTTCATCTTCTGACTTGTCATATATATATATATATATATATATATATATATATATATATATATATATATATATATATATTCTTTTCTGATTTTAATTTCATCAAACATTATAACGCTAACTCTATCGTTGTTATTAAAATCAGAAAATTCTACAAGTTTAAAAATGTTTTTAAGAATCCCTGGTTGGATTTTGATCTTCTTTAGCCAAGCTCTTAGTGTGGAGACTGCAGGGTATGGAAACCCTTTTTTTAACATGAGCCTGTATGCTCTGGGTCCAGCGGCATATAAAACAATGGCATTGGAAATTTCTCCAACAGACCATTGGATGCGTTTTTTTTAATTTGGCTATTTGTTTTTTTGAAAAAACCTTTTTAACAGCAGAGAGTGTCTCTTTTAAATCTGATACTTCTTGGTTTTTTTTTCATCCAGAGAGTTTTGTACAGAATCAATATTAATAGCGGTGAGGTCTATTTGCACCCTAAAATATAAAATATGGGTTACAAATAATTAAGTACCCAAAACATGCACAAATCCATGGATTAATGGATGGATCCATGACTGCATTCAAAACTACTGAAATTACCACATATTATTATGATTAGATGATGTAGAAGGAAAATCACCATCCATACTACATGCTACAAGGCTAGTGCTATAGCCTTCTGCACTATCGTTATTTCCACCACACCAAAATTATGAAAATTAAAACTGTAGCGAAGTGTCCCTTTCCAAGGAGAACTTGCTGAATGAGTGGGTCGTAGGTTTTTAAAGACTTGTATCCCAGAACACTCTATTATTGTAACACACCTTAACATAGAATTGGTAACACTTCTTAGTAGTCAAGCAATTAAATCTAAAAAACTGTTTCAGCAAATTAATTAAATTGAATATAAAATAATAGATCAAATAAGTTACCTGTTTCGTTCAACAAAACGAACATTAATCCAGAGGATGATAACGAAATTTAAAGATCCAAAGCGTGGCAATCAACGGCTAAAGACAACAGGCCAATGGTCGCCGCGTATGACAAAAAACGATCAAATTGAAGATGAAATGG